TGAACCATTTAGCCTGGAAGGCAGTATTCACCATAAAACGTACTTTTAAACAATAATCCCGTGTAAATAGTGCTGATTGTCATTTTGAACATTCACGGCAAGCCTCCTTTTCTGATGGTGCTTTAAAATTCTCACAATGAAACTATGAGGTGTTTATTTTGTAGACCTACGTTTAAGACAAGGAAACCGAAGCTTAGGCGCGCCTGCCCAAAACCTTGCCACTTGGAGGCCAGGATGTGATCTACACAACCTGTGAAAGAAAGGTCACTGTGGACCCCCGCATGCAGCTGATGAAGGACTGGCTGAGGGTGGGACTGTCGAGCACTCAGGGCGCTTGCCTTCAGCCAGCCTGGCTTTGTTACCAGGGATTGATTCCGGGGGCGCTTACCACTAAGCCACATCCCCAGCCCTCTGTTTTTTTATTTTGAGATGGGGTCTCACTAAGTTTCTTGGGGCCTCCCTATGTTGCTGAGGCTGGCCTCAAACTTGTGAACCTCCTGCCTCAGCTTCCTGAGTCGCTGGGATTATAGGTGTGCGCCAGCAGAACAGGCAGTCCTTGAAAGTCAACAAGAACTGGTCAGCATTAGTGTGAGCTCCAAAATGCACATTTCTAAGGCAGCTGGATTAAAGATACCAGAACTTCAAGATCAAATACACTTTTAAAAGTCAATGTTTTCTATATTCTGTCCCTCCCTCCCTCCCCTTTGGTGAGGCAGGACAGGTCGATAGAATGACCCAGCTCTGCTACTTTCTAGCTGGGTGACACTGAGCAAGGCACTTTACCTCTCTGAGCCTCACCTGCCAAATGTGGGTGACTATAGTAAATATTTCCTGGTCACTTCCCTGGCCTAAGCACCACTATTTTCAGTGCTTTTCCTATAGTAGGTCATTTAGTTCTCCCAGTGATATACTGTTATTATCTTCACTTCACACATGAAGAAAAAAGAGAGGTTATACAACTGGCCTGAGGTCCCAGCAGGGCTGAGATTCACACAGAGAAGAAACTCAGCTTCAGAAGCTTTGTGCTTTGCCCTGCATTCTTTCGCCTCCCTGGGGTTCTCCAATTCAAACGGCTACTGGCAAAATTAAATAAAATCATGGAAAAATCATCAGCACACAGTAGGTGCTTAATATTCCTTTTGATGCTGCTGCTTCATGAATAGCTGAGTGTATCTCACATAGGACACTACCAACCTCATAGAGCAGCATTTCTACTCATAAATATTACATCTATTTCCCAACACAGGTACAGACCTGATGCTGGAATACTCCACTGTAGATCAGTAAAAAGAATATTTTGTCCCTCCAGTTGGTACCAACATGGCCAGATGGTATCAGCCCTGCCTGATTAGTTCTAATCAGGCAAGATTCTATGGTTGAAAGCCACAGGATCAAAACAAGGCCATAAAAGCTGGACTCCGCCTGGGGCTTGATTGGACCCTGTTGCTTTCCATTAAGGAAGTCATGAAACAGCAGCTGGAGGCAAGTGCCAACTGGAATGGTTGGGCAGTCACCCAGGCTGTCCCCTGCGAGGAGCAGTGCCCACTGGATCCACCTGGAAGCACATTCAACATGGAGACTGAATGAGACGCTGGGAGGTGGGCAGACACCTGGCCCTGGGACAAGGTGAGTCTCAGGTTTGTTAACAGTAGGAAGATCAACAGCTGTGACCAGGTTTCAAGTTCCATGTGCTACCTACCTGATGTGCAAACCAGAAGTATCATCCCCAGTTCAAGTGACGACCATGTGGAAACCAACAAGGCACAGACCACCCTGTCCTCCATATCTAAATGATACACGGCCACAGCACGTGCAGAGTGGAAGGGGTTGCCACGTCCAGACAGGAAGGAAAGCCGCTCTACAAGGGACCAACACAGTCACGTCACAAATGCTTTCCACTGACTGTGGGTTTCCTGTGCCCACTCAGCCACTGAGTTCAGAATCGGAATTCATAGCTGGGAAACTTCTCCAGTTTAGAAAGTTGGGCAGGGACTGTGTACACCACGGCATCCTTCTTCATGTTTTAAGGGCAGCGACAGGCTCATGATGAAAACTCAAACCTCAGCAGGGGTATCCAGTTGAAAACTAAGACTTCCGGTCTCATCCACCAACACCCTCCCCAGGGGACCACCGACAACCATGCTGTTCTGTGCTTTGCTTTCTTCACTTCATGCCACCCCAYAGTCATCTTACCTAAAGACGTAGGTCAACCTCACCCTTTTTTTAAGGGCCACATGAATGCCACAGTATGGACCCAACAATTGTTTAACTATGTTCCCTACTAAGGGAAACTTGAGACTTTTTTTTTTTTGCTGTTAGAAATATTTCAGTGAACATCTTCACATTCTTGTGAAGATTACTACTCTACAGTGAATTACTGCTCTACAGTGAACCTCTGCCCTCCCTGTCCCCAGAAAATCATGTTGGAACTTCATCTCCAGTGCAACGGTATTTGGAGGTGGGGACTTTGGAAGCTGATTAGGTCGTGAAAGGTATTGGTGCCTTGATAAAGGACATCGGGAAGGCTCCCTCACCCCTTCCCCCACATGAGAACACAGCCAAGGGATGGCAGCCATGAACCAGGAAATGGACCCYCACCAGACACAGGGTCAGCCTGATTGGACCTCCTGGGCCCCAGAACTCTGAGGAATAAGTATCATTTTGAGCCACCCAGGCTGTGGTAGTTTGTCACAGCAGCCCAAAGAAACTAAGGCAATTATTATTTTTGGTTTTTTAAGGGGGATACATGCCCCACCTGCATAGAAGACCATTTCTGTGTTTGGAGAACTGCATTCCCACCCATTTTGGGTAATTCCCCAAAATTGGGGTGCACTGGAATTAAGTGGGAAGCACAGAAACGGTCTAGCAAACTCTACAAGGTTGAACATGGTGTTATCTGTTCTTGTTCATTTGGGGTTTTAACAGCTCCCAGGCACACTCCCATTGGGTGTTCCGGAAGACGACTCACTCTGCACTCCCACATCAGGAACTGAGGTCTTAGCTCAGAGTGCATTTGCTCCGTGTGCCCTCTGCTGGTGCTGCCTGGGCCGGCCACGCATGCAGCACCAAGCTGACGGGAACTGGCTCTCACCTTCCAGGCCAAGTCCCTAGCAGGCTTAACAGTACAAGAYCCTTCAGGGTTGGCACGATTCCTGACGTTAGGTCACTTACAGATAGTGATGCCAGGTCAGGGGCCTGGGTGATGCTTTGAAACTAGGGCCATCATACAACTAAGTCAATGGAATCAYATGCCATTTCCCCTGAAGAGCCGGCACTTCCAAATGGGTTTGAGGGCCTCCAGGCCCAACAAGACCCACTACCAGGATCTGGGTCACACCTACAGAATCTGCTCACCAAGAACATGCCCGGCACCCACAGCCCTGTCTAGGAAAACCAGATGGACCCACTTCCACGGTTATCAGCAGGAAAGTCAGGCTCCTCCCTTTGGCAACTGCTCTCAACCTGTCCAGTGCAGAAGCACAGGCCTGCTGCTCCCTCTGTGCCTGCTTCCGCTTCAAGTCCAGGGCTAAGGCCCTCCCACCACGCCTCTCCTGCAGTCCTGCCTCAGACCATCTGACCCTTTCTTCACATTTGTCACCAACTGTAATGACATACATCCATTTGTTTAACATCCATTTGTTTACCAGACACCCTACTGCAAGCTCCACAAAGGTGAAAATCTTGAATTAGCCAGTAACTGGCACAAGACAGACACTGGTAAAAGTTTAGGTGGAATGAATGACATTTGAAAGCCTGCAGGAGCAAACTCTTTTGAATTGTTTTATTTGCTTTTCTCTGAAATGAAAAAATTAACAACAAAAACACCTAACTTCTTTTGTTAACTGATTTTTGTTTTAAGTCATTTTGGGGTCCAATGTGGTAGCATACACCTATAATCCCAGTGACTTGGGAGGCTGAAGCAGGAAGATCACAAGTTCGAGGCCAACCTAGGCAACTTAGTGAGACCACCTCAAAATAAAAAATAAGGGTTGAGGTTGTAGCTCAGGGGGAGAGTACCCCTGGGTTCAATCCCTAGTAATGTATAAAAAAAGAAAAGGTCATTTTGAGCTAGCAATGCAGCTCAGTAGCAGGATGCCTGCCCGGCCCATTCAAGGCCTAGGGTTCAATCCACAGCACTGCAATATATGGAAAAAAAATTCATTTTTCTCAAAACACCATTTTCAGCCTACAGAGGACAAATATTACATTCTTATTAACTCAAAAATTGGGGGGCTGGGGATATAGTTCAGTTGGTAGAGCACTTGCCTTGCATGCACAAGACAATGGGTTCAATCCCCAGCACCACACACACACACACACACACAAAAAAAAAAAAAAATTGGGAATGATCTAGTTATGGTTTAGATATGAGGTGCCACCCGCTAAAAGCTCCTGTTAACAATGTAGGTGATTAAATTATGAGAGCTGTAACCTAATCAATTGATTAGTCCATCTGATGGGTCAGTAATTGAAAGGACTGACCATGTGGCACCTGTAGGTGGGGGGCACACCTTGGGGGTTTCTGTTACCCCTGGCTCCCTGCTTCCCAGCCACCAGGGACTGAGGCTCTCCTCCACCACACCCTTCCACCTCACCTTGGGTCCAGAATAATGGAGTTTGCTGGGCAAGGACTGAAACTCTGAAACTGTGAGCCACAGTGAATTTTTCCTCCTCTAATTGTTCTTGCCAGGTATTTTGGTCACAGCAATGAAAACCTGACAAACATAATAGTAAAGGTTAAAAGGACCTGCTACGTCCACTCAGTGTAATACTTTGCAATTCCTGAATATTTTAAAATAAATATACATAACTGAGATACTCTCATAACATGAAGCAAAGACCAACTTCAAGTATAGTATAACTTGTTTTTTAAAAGCTTTGAAGCTCCATGGGATGCCACTGTGTATCTCTGACCAAAGGCTTCATATTTGCTCTGGGCTACTGAGTTTGCAAAGTACTTGCCAATTATTGGTTTCTTTGTATATTTGTTTTACAGACTGAAGCCAGGGCTTCACACATGCTGAACAAATGCTCTACCTCTGAGCTTGACCCCAGCCCGCATTTAGTTATTCTCACATTTACCATGAGACAAAGAGTCCCATCCATTTTACAGATGTGAACTTAGACACACTACTCTGCCCAGGCTGAGAGCTGAGAACTGGTAGCACCCAAGCCTTTTAACTCCAGATCCTGTGCCCCTTGCCATGCCTCTTGGTCTTCCAGTTTCATAGCTGAGGCTAAGTGACCCCGCCCAGCTTTCTCCAACAGCTGCCTCCTAACAGAAATTCTAGCCATTATCTGAATGAATGTCTACAGGTATAGGAAGATTCTGCTCTGAAGGCCTTTTTCGTAAACCTGGTTACTACTTCCACTTCATAAATTTCTTCATCCAAAAAAACAAGTTCCCAGAGTCCTGGAGATCCCTGCTTCAGCTGCTCCCACACCCTCAGCTTTCTTGTCAGAGATCCAGGTGGCCACGGGCCACCCAGATCAGCTCCAAGCTGTTCACTTGAGTCTGTCCAGTGTCCCGAACACCTGCGTAAAACGCTCTCTGTCCACAACACGTCCATGGCGCAGGGTGAGATAGAAGGTCTGCTTTCCACTGTACTGCTGGATCCGTACGAACAGATCTTGGGGCCGGTCCTTGGTCTCTGTCAGGGGCATCACATCGGCCACAGGACAGTATGTGTCCTGCCGCCAGCCCCAGAAGGTGAGGTGGGCCACCCGAAGTACGGTACCTGACTCATTCACATACAGGATGCCCACCAGCCTCCGGAAGAAATAGCTCATCCAGCACAGCATGACCAGGGCAAAGCCAGCTATCCCACTTAGGAGGCACAGTGAGTTGAAAGTCATGAGGCCCTGGGAGTACCAGTAGAAGCCTGGTGGCAGGGCCACCACTGTCAGAGCCGTCTGTGCCACCTTCAGCCGAGACACATACCCAAAGGCTCTGATGGCATTGAAGCGGTAGACCATCTGGAATTTCTCATTCTCTTCACTTGGTGGTTTCTCCTTCAAGGTGGGTGACCTGTTCCCCACCCACCTCTTGGGATCCTCCTTCCCACTGCAAAACCATAGCTCATGGAGAGGCCTTCCCCAAGCAGCTGGCCCCCGCAACCTTGGCGCAGCTCGGAGGAGGGCAGCCTGAAAGGGAAACAGGAGATATTTTCTCATGGAATTCAACAATGCCAATCACACAATGTACATCTGTCAAACATCACACAAGGAGGCTCCCAGCAATCCTGCAATGTCACCAGTACTGCCAAAGGAGAGAGAATGGCAAAGCCAGATGCTTTACTTCATGGGAACTGCACGAATGCTAGTCGGGACGAGTACTACTGCTTCTTTTTTTACCAGTAAGGAAACTAACCCCAGAGAGGTTGAGAAATTTACCCAAGGACACACAGTGGAATGAATACAGGGATGGGGAGGTGTCTGATTCTCAAACTGGTCCTCTTTCCCCCAGAAAGTTCCAAGTAAAAATAGAAAAGAAGGCTTCTTTCATTCAACAAACAGCTAGGGAGAGCCACCACTAGACACTGGATCCATAAGGCCATGTGACTAATGTGTGATTACCAAGGAGTAAACGAATCATGTCCTAGGAGGAAACTCGGGTAACAAATCCAAAATTACAACAGTAATCGTCCAGTTTTCCACCTGGTCTCTGCGTTATCTTGGTGGCAGAGGAAACTGCCATTTTCTACTAGGCTAGCTTTGTAGCAGAGTGATGCAGTGAGGCCCCAACACGGGACCATTAGTGGGTAAGTAGTGCAGTCGAAAAGCTCTGGAGCACATGTGGGTTCCAATCCTGACTCGTCACTAGCTGTGAGTTCCCAGGCAGGTTACTCCTCCTCTAGGCGCCTCAGTTTCTTCACTTTTATTTATTATTTTCATTAACTGGTTTATTGATTGGTTTACTTTGTGGTACTGGGGACTGAACCCAGAGTGTAGTGGCACCCCTTCCTCAACAGAAAATCTTAACTACGTTTCTCCAGAAATCTTCACCGTTATTGATTTTAGGACAATCAGCAAAAGAGTATCTACAAAAGAGTTCAATGTAGGTAAACACCCTACTTTCCTGTTGCTCTATTACTCGGTCACTGGCCTGGAAGAAATCAGCATTCCAGGTGCTGGACGCCCCTTTACTTGTTTTTCACAAACATTTATTCAGCATAGTAGTTGTAGAAGTGTGTTGCAAATGCAAAATGTGATTTAAAAAAAAAAAGAAAAAGAAGTTTAACCAGGCCTCTGGCCTTGAGCTGGGCTTCACAGAGGTGTCTACATTTCTAGGAAAACCGAAGTTGCCAACTGGGCTCCATGGTGACAGCTGGTGGGGGAGGAGAGAGAGGGGAGAAGCAGCTCTCCCCTTCTCAGTCGCTGTCCTTGAAGGGTTAATGTGCCCAGAACAGTGAGAGAAAARGCTGCTTTTATGTGAACTTCTGCAGACTGGGGACTTCTGAGCCCCTCCCCTGACATGATGGGTACAGAGCTCTGAAACTCCCTGAACTCGGGGTTCAGGGGATTGACGGATTACAGCAAAAGCTGTTCCCCCCAACCTGGCTGCAGCTCTCTTGGAGCCTTGCCTCTTCGTCCTTCCAACARGAGGCGCTCTAAAACTCAGCCACATCCCGAGCCCCTTTTTTAACTTTAAGGCAGGGGCTCACTAAGTTGCCGGGGCTGGCCTCGAACCTACGATCCTCCTGCCCCAGCCTCCCAGGCAGCTGGGACGGCAGGCGTGGGACACCGCACCCAGCCGGCCCTTCACCTTTTGAAAGGGAGACTCAGGATGCGGAACAGACAATGACTACACGACACGAGCCTCCACCGAGCACCTGCGCCCCGCCGGCGCTCCGAGGTTGGCTCCTACCCGGCGGGCCCACGTGACCCGGGGGAGCCGGAGCCTCCTCACGCGGACGCCCCAAGTCAGAAACCCAGGCGTGCCTACCTCGGCCCCAAGTGCGGCACGCACCGCGTCCTCAACCACCCTCCTCACCACCCTCCTCCTCCTCACCATGAGCAGATCCCTTGCTGCCGGAAGTAAATGCCACAGGCCCCGGAAACTCTGAGAGCGCATGCTCAGACTCACGAGGCGCGCGTTGCATCTCGGGAGTCGTAGTCTCGGGACGGGGCCGACGCGCGTCCCGGGCAACAAGGGAGCCCCGGATGGTTCTCTTCCCGGCKTGCCCTGCGGCGCGGGTGCCGGACCCGGAAGTTCCGGGTCGAGTACCTGGTGCCAACTCAGGTGCCTGCGCGTCCTATCGGGTGCGCTCGGAAACTGCAGCCATGGCGGCGTCTGGCCCAGTGCTGTGCCTCTTCGATGTGGATGGGACCCTGACGTCCCCGCGGCAGGTAGGCGGCGCCCGGCAGGCTAGTGGCTGCCGGTGCGGGGACCCCGCCGCTCGCACACCTGGCTCACGACCACCCAGGGTGGGCGCCGAAGGGCGACTTAGGACCTTTCTTCCTCCCGGGGGCTGAGCTTTGACCTGGGCGCCGTGGAGGAATGAGACCAGGCACTGACCAGCTCTCCAGAACCTCGGTGCTCAGAGGTGGCGCCGAACCTTAAGAGCAGGAAACGTGCTTTGGGCGGGGAAGTACCGTTGTGGACTTGCCCGCGCGCCCTGGGCACTGATTGACCCGGGTTTCAACCCCAGCTCAGGACCCCTTGCAGCCATGTGACCGTCTCAGTCCTGTGGCCCAAGGGCTGTGCTGTGTGCATGATAGTAAAGACAGGCTTCCAAGTCAGACACTGAGTGGAGTCTCTGCTCCGTCTCTTGACAGCTGTGTGACCTGGGGCCAGTCAGTTAACTTCTCTGAGTCTCAACGTCTACAGCTTAAATAGGGACATTACCTGTTCCAAATGGTATTTGTGAGGATCTGATAGAATTATTAAAGTGTCTTGCGTACAGAGGATATCAAAACATTAAACACTTCCCCCTGCCCCTGCCATGGACCTTGGTGACCCAAGAACCCTGGGTCACTTTAGGCTGCTGCTGAGAGTTACATGGGTTCTGGAAACTTGCTCCCCACTACCAGATTTTTGCTGCTCTGGGCACAGATAAGTTTCATTTAGGATCAGGCTTGTATCTGACTGTGTGGGCGCATGCCTGTAATCTCAGCCCCAGGCAGGAAGACCACAGATTTGAGGGCRGCATAGGCAACTTAGTGAGACTCTGTCTCAAAAATTAAAAAGCRTTGAGGGTGTAGTTCAGTGGTAAAGTACCCTTGGGTTCAATCTGTAGATGGACAGATTGGAAATATTTGAGGCTTTGCAGGCCATGAGGTCTCTGTTCCAACTACTCAACTGTKTTTGTGGCACAGAAGCAGCTTGCACACAAACGGATGGGGCTGTGTTCCAGTAATTACATAAACAGGCAGTGGACCTGATTCAGGCCCACAGGCTCTCATTTGCTGGCTCCACCTCATATCTGTAGTAAAATTTCCTTAAACATCTCCCCCAGAAATCTTCTATAAATTTTTTTCAGAGTTTCTAAACTTTTTTTTTTAAGTTTTTAAACTTTTTCAGAGTTTTTAAACTTTTTCCATCTTAATTTTAAGTTTTTGAATCTTCCTCTATTTCATTCTGTGTGGGGCAATGTATAATAATGAGCACAGGTTTATTTAGGAACACTGAAATAATTCTGCTGTGCACTTGCTTCACTCTGAAGATTTCTTCTGCATCGGAGTGTAGTATAAATGCTCAGCTGTGGTTACAGCATGTGGGTCCTGTTTCCTCTCCGAAAGTATTTGCTGCCACCTGGAAGCAAAGAGCTATCTTTTATAGCCCATTCACGTTGCAAGACATGTCACAGTGGCTGATCGAGGTACCACTTAGCTCATCAGTGTGCACAGGGCCTAGTGGAATAAGTTGTACCCTTACGCTTCCTTAGGCTTTGAAGCTGGAAGTATTGCTGCCATTGTTGGTCAGTATTGTTCTTCTAATATTTTGCATCAGTCTTCCCACTTCCTCCCATGCTGATGCCAGGTCTAAGCAAACCATTTGGGGACTCTGGGGACAGGTTTTCACATTCTCACTGACTCAAAGGCCACTCGTGCAGTTCTGGATTTTGCCCAATATGTCAAGATTCTGCTGTAAGAGGTAGAGAAGATCTCACTCTTTATAAGCCCCTCTGTGAAGTCTTATTAATAGTATGAATGTATTTATCTAAAAAACATGTTTTAAAGAAAAAAAGGTTGTGCCAATACCTATAATCCCAGGAACTCTGGAGGTTAAGTCAGGAGATTCCCAAGTTCTTGGCCAGCGAGAGCAATTTGGTAAGACCCTGTCTCAGAATAAAGAAGGAATGGGGATGAAGCTCAGTGGTAAGGTGCCACTGTGTTCAGTCCCAGTGTGGGTGTGGGGCAGGGCAGGAGGAAGAACAAAGCATTGAACTGTAGATGTTATATTAAAAATTCTCTCTCTCTCGCTCTCACTCTCTCTCCTCTCTCACTCTCTCTTTAAAAAAAAAAAATTACAACTAAAACATTTGAACTTATCTACAGACTAGTAACTGAGTAAGCATGTGTAAAAATAAGAATTACTTTTTCTTACAATTTTAGTCTGCTGATTATTTTGTGGCTCCTGACATGTGTTTTTCTTCTTGAAATGCAGAAAATTACCAAAGAAATGGATGACTTTCTACAGAAATTGAGGCAGAAGATCAAAATTGGAGTGGTAGGCGGGTCAGACTTTGAAAAAGTGCAGGAGCAACTGGGAAATGATGGTAACTAACGCATTGCCAATTATGCTTGGTCAAAGACGAGCTTCTCATGGTGCATTGGAAACTATAGCCATCTGCTGTCAGCTTTCTGTTTCCTTCTTTGAGGAAACATTTTCTCTTCCTTTATTTTTCCTGTGCTTTTAATCCTGTCCATAAAGTTCTAGAGTTGACTGACAAAAATACTTGACTCAGATGTGTAGGTAGATTGTCATAAAAAGGTGAGTGTCCACATCTCTGCACTTAGAAACCTTTCTGCCTGTTCTGGCTCACTGCCCTCCAGCCTTAGCCCAGGCCCCAGCTCTGACTCCTCGCCCAGGTGTGGAAGTGCCCCATGGGCTGGTGCCTCCTCCCCATGCCTTCATCCGTGTTCCCTACTCAGGAGAGTCACGGCTCTCCCTGCCCCCCATCCAGAGTCTCCAGCACAGAACCCTGGAAGCCGGAGAACCATACTGACTCCTTTCCTGGAGATTCTGACTCAGTAGTTTTGTGGTATGATGCAGCAAAGCCCTGCCAGTGTAGTGCTCTGTTAGTTTGGGAATCTGCCTTGAAGACCAGAACCAGTCATTGTTTATCTCTGTGCTCCCAGGGCCTCTGGGGTGCCTGGCCTATGAGAAATAGTGGGTGGAGAAATGATGAATAAACTGTTTCTTTAACCCCGGTTTTCCCAGAGTCCCCACATCTTGGAACCAGCTCTGATAGAGCAAGGCTTTTCAATCTTGGCACTGTTGACATTTTGAGCCACATAATTCTATATTATAGGGGCCTCCTGTGCATTGGAAGATGTTTAGCAGTTTCCCTGGCCTTTTCCCACTAGATGTCAGCAGAGTTCACACACACACACACACACACACAGAATTTTGACAACCAAAATGTCCCCAGACATTGCCAAATACCCCCTGGTGGCGACACCCCTGTTTGGAACTCCTGTTCCATATATCATATCTTACCCTCCAAATCTGTGCAGGCCATATTTATTGGGTTATCATTACTGGAAGAATAATGTACACAATTCCTTTAATTCTCCTTGTAGATGCTTTGTTTAGAAATGCTTTAAACAGCACAACAGGTCACTTTTAGCCTGGAAACCCTGTTGCCTGGTTGGGATTGCCCTCTCTCCTGCTCCTGGTACAAGAGGTGCAGGAGGGGTCTGCAGAGTCAGAATGTGCAGCAAGAATCGATAGAACTAGAAGAAAGTTAAACCCACCTCTGTCACAGTCACCATGTTAAACTCCAGGTGCGAGGGTCTCTTTCAGCACGTGGTGATGTGGACCAGGGGCGCTGGGCCTGGGGTCTGCATTTGAACAAGTGCCTAAACTTTGAGAATCCCTTCATTAAGGCTGTGTGGTAGTGTTCAAATCTGACTGGTTATAAGAATTACCTAAACAGCTTTTTCTTTAAAAAAAATCTTATGTTTAGCCTGTCACTTAATGATTAGAAAGCCCAAGGTCAGAGTTCAGAAACCTACATCACCTGCTGCCCCAGTGATGCTGGCTCATGGCAAGTTTGGGCACCCACTGGGCCAGACCAAGGGGATGAAGGCAAGTACAGAACAGGACCTGTGGCCGGCTCCAGGCCTGCTGTCGTTACATATAACCAAAGAGCCTTTCTTTCTTGCTTTCCTCGTTTGGGGAGCTTGGTTAGGATGAGGTTCTTCCGTGGTTCTTACTGGAGGTCAGTAGTTTTATTGGTGGTGCATGTTAGTCAAGAAGTAGAAACAGATTTTCATTCATTCATTCTGAATTTTCTTTTGTTTCGGTTTGGTTGTAGTGGTTGAAAGATATGATTATGTGTTTCCAGAAAATGGCTTGGTAGCGTACAAAGATGGGAAACTATTATGTAAACAGGTAGGTTCTGAGTATGTGAACAACTACATAACACTTCTAAAATGATGTCTAAAGGGCATTTGATACTGAATGCCTCTGGGGCGGGACACTGGGAGCTGATTAATGGGGGAAATGAATCTTTACTCCATTCTTCATTAAGTTTTGAATGTTGAAACATATGACTGTTAAATATTCCAAAGTAATATTTAAGTTTTTGTAATTGGTTTTTAAGACTACTTATATCTGGCCTGGGTTGTAGCTCAGTGTCGGAGCACTTGCCTACATKTGTGAGGCACTAGGTTCAATCCTCAGCACCACATAAAAATAAATAAATAAAATAAAGGTATTGTGTCCATAGACAACAAAAAATATTTTTTCTTTWAAAAAAAGAAGGCTGGGGTTGTGGCTCAGCAGTAGAGCACTCGCCTCGCATGTGCGAAACCCTGGGTTTGATCCTCAGCACCACATACAAAAATAAACAAGTGAAATAAAGGTGTTGTGTCCAACTACAACTAAAAAAAGAAAAGAATGCTTGAGGGCTGGGGTTGGGGCTCAGTGGTAGGGCACTCACCTTGCACATAAAAACAGAAAAAATAAAATAAAGGTATTGTGTCCAGCTACAACTAAATCTTAACTTGTGGGCTGAGGTTGTGGCTCAGTGGTAGCGCGCTTGCCTAGCACACATGGGTTCAATTCTCAGCACCACATACAAACAAATAAAACAAAGGTCCATCAACAATTAAAAAATATTAAAAGAAGAAAAGAAGCTGTTAAAAAAAGAATACTTATATCTAATATTTCTATTATGATAGCAAAAACTAGGCAGGCTGCCTCAGCATAATAAGCATCTTAGAAAGTACTGTATAAACTGGTGTGGTGGCACACACCTATAATCCTAGACACCTGGGAGGCTGAGGCACGAGGACCACAGGTTCGAGGCTAGCCTCAGCAACGTAGTGAGACCCTGTCTCAAAATAAAAAGGGCTGGGGTTGTTGTTCAGTGGTAGAGCATCCCTGAGATCAATTTAAAAGGAAAAAAAAAAAGGTACTACATAGCTCTTAAGAGTCTAGGATCATTCTGTTCAGACAGAAGAGGAGTGTGTTTTGGTCTATCACTGTAGATATCTTAATTGAATAAAAGCTAGAGCAGTAAACTCTGGACCTTCCAGGAAGTGTTTGAAAGATAATGAACACAGAACTCTAAGCAGTGAGGAGAAAATGCGTTTGGCTGGTGCTTTTGTGGCTTGCCCCATGTCTTCAGCCAGAGGAAAAGGGAAAGAAGTAAACGGCGGGGGCCAGCCGCAGCCCTGCCCCGCTGCCTCAGCCTCGCAGCTTCCCAGCAGGAGTGGCTGAAGACGGGGCTTGCTGGAAAGCTGTCTTGAATATGCTTCCTGCTAAACCAAATAACTCCACTACTTTGTTCACCTAGAATATTCAAGGTCACCTGGGTGAGGCTCTGATCCAAGACTTGATCAACTACTGTCTGAGCTACATTGCAAAAATTAAACTTCCCAAGAAAAGGTAGGTTTGCCTTCAGCAAAGAGGCGCTATTGCAGTAGGGAACGATGTCTTGTGGGGTGAGTGCTCATTTACATCCAAAGCCCAGCACTTGGAAACGGTGTGTGAAGCCAACAGTGTAGGATGGTGACGCAAATGGCCTGTCCACATGAAGGCCATTCATGCAGCCACTGAACACCATACACCTTCCAAGGCTGTCGTGAGAGGGAGCACCTGTTAGAGGGCGTGTACAAAGAGCAAGGGAGACTCCAGACCTGGACGTGTAATGGAGGCCTGCGGAGCCTGCCCAGAGCCAAGTGTGGCTGGCCCACAGTGTTAAATAAAACCACACTCATTGCCATCATTTCACATTTGGTTTTCTGATTTTGAAACATCTGGGTTCTGACTTTGTGGCAAATCAGGCCCTGGCTGCCCTGCCCCACCCCACCCTGGAGCACTTACTCCAGTCTCAGTGCCCCCAATACAAAGATGGGCAGGCAGTGGGTCCAGATGCTGACGGGGCCTGATGGTGAGGTTGCTGGTTCTTTCCGGTTTTCAGGACTTCCTGGGTAGACCTTCACTGTCATGGGAGAGATGCATCTTTAAGGGGCAGCTGGGTCTCAGGGCTGCACTCCAGAGGCTGCTCCAGCCTGTTGGGAGCCGCAGAGCAGCCGCACCTCCAGCCCATGCAGGTCCCTTCCCCCAGAGAGGCTATGGGTGWAACGGGCTGGTCTGGTGCTGCTGCTGCTGGTGATACACACCTAGGGCTCCTTCTCCTATTCTGAGTTTAAGTTCCCCATAGTAAAAAGTCAAAAGATACCATGTCCCAAGTCCATCACCTCATTACTATGGGCTAAGCATGATTTTTTTTTAAAAAAACGAGACATGATCCCATCCTCAAAGAGTTTATCATCTAGTGAGGCAGAATGGAGTACAGAGCTATAGTTCCGGAACACTGAAAGAAACCAGAACTGAGACCCAGTTGATCAGCTTTTCCACATTTTGTATCAGTACTGGGTGCTCTGCCTGGTTCAGGCAGAGGCCGTAAGACCTAGACGGCCCAGTCTTCACAAGAGAATTGAGTATTGATAAACCACCCTAATCCCTGTTTTTGGGGGGATACTAGAGATTGAACCAAGGGGCGCTTTGCCACTGAATTACACCCCCAGCCCTTTTTTTTTTCAATATTTATTTTTTAGTTGTAGTTGGACACATTACCTTTATTTTATTTATATGTGGCTAATGATCGAACCCAGGGCCTTGAATGTGGTAGGCTAACACTCTACCACTGAACTACAGCTACAGCCCAACACTCCTAGCCCTTTTTATTTTTTATTTTAAGAYGGARTTTTAGGCTGACCTCAAACTTTTGATCTCCTGCTTCAGCCCCTTGAGTCACTGGAATTACAGGTTTATGCCACCATGCCCAGCCTAATCCCTGTTTTTGAGAGACTTTCTGAAATGTGTCAGCTTCCTCTGTGTATTGGGAATAAGTACAATGTCTGAGTTGAGAGGAAATAGCTGAGCTCTGTTTCTGATAGCTTACCCCATGGCCCTAGGGTCAGCCCTGGGAATCAGTCCCCACCCCCCAACCCCGTATCAACAGGGACAGGGCTAGGTCTCTGTCAGTTTCAGGACAACATGGACATGGAGTCTTTTGGKTTTTTTTTTTTTTTTTCCAGCAGTGGGATTGAACCCTGGACTTCATATGTGCTAGGCAAGCACTCCACTGCTGAGCCACACTCCTGACCTCCAAACATGGGATTTTTAGAAACATTTCTTAGGTGTTCACACTTCCTGTATCATTTGCTGTGTTYTCCATGAGTCGAGCATAGCGGGGGCCCAGATCCATCTGCTAGAGACTTGGATATTTCTATTTTACTTGATAAGTACTTGTTCATTCCCAGTTTACAAAGTACCTTTACATAAACTGTCTGTCTGCTTTTCACTAGACTCTTTGGAGGCGACCAGAGCAGGTGCCTTTAGCTTCTCTCTGTAGGTGAACAAACAGGCCTGGAGAGGTGCCCAGAGTCAGACAGCATAGTAAGAGGCCAACTGGCCTTGAGTCGCGTCCACACTCTGCACCTGGCCTCTCAGTATCTACCATGGCAGGTGGCTGGAGATCAAAGCTGTGTGATTAAATAATGGAAAGAGACGGGGAAAATGTTCCATAGGTTCACAAGTGCCACCTTTGAGAGATGGAAGGCGTGTCAGTGCATGTTTGTCACAAAATATTGAAATTTAATTTGTCAAGATGAATGTCTATCTTCCAAATTATCTCAGCTTTTAAGAAACTATTCTGAGACTGAAAGTGCAAACATGGTGGGCACACATGGGGTTGGTTGGTTATTGGTTGTGGTTCTGTTGGGGCAGGTTCTGGGGATAAGACTAAGACCTCAAACATGCTAGGCAAGCACGCAACCACTGAGCTACATCCCCATTCCTGGGGAAAAAAATGTTTTTAAACATCTTCATTTAAGTCACTGAGGTGGCGTTTGTTGGGCCGTTCTTATTTTCTGTGATCAAGTCAAATCCTTAGGAATGTCTGCCACGGGGTAAATTGAGTTTCCTCGGTGGTTACTGGGGCTCTGAGCAGTTCTCAGAACCCTTCTGTGTATCTCTGCTTGGGGAGTCAATCTCTGAGAGCTCACAAGCAACACAGGTGTCTGAAATGTTTCCCAGCTCCGTGGGGAGGAACTGATGGCTCTTGTGGTGCTGAGGCATTTTCACGGCTCTTCATTAACTCTGAATTCTCTGCCAGGCAGCCACGATGTCCAGTAGAAATATAACTTGAGCCACAAAGGTAGCTTTAAACTTTTTTCAACCCAATGTCTCAGAACTGCTTTAACAGTAGTCCTTATAAAACATTACTTAGGTAATCATGTTCCTTTTTAATACTAAATTTCAAATCTGATCTCATTCTGGATCAGCAGCATTTCAAGGCCCAATGGCCCCCTGTGGTTCCTGGCCTACTGTGTTGCCCAGCACAGCTCTGGGAAACAGGACCGCTGGCCAGGGGAGGCGCACACCTCCACAATGCCAGCTATTGAGGGACTGAGGCAGGAGGATCACAGGTTCAACACCAGCTGGACAATTTAGTGAGACCTTGTCTCAAATTTTTTAAGACATTAATAATGAGGGGCTGGGGTTGTGGCTCAAGTGGTAGAGGGCTCGCCTAGCACCTGTGAGGCACTGGGTTCAATCCTCAGCACCACATAAAATAAAGATATTGTACCAACAAAATGAAGTATGGATTACATCCCCTCTACTTCATAAAACCACTCAACCTTTTAGTCTATTTACCTACCCATGTTGCCCAAATAAATATGGACATTTGGGGGACCTCGGTCCCTTTTCCTCCCTAGGGGTACTTTCATTGAATTCCGAAACGGGATGTTGAATGTGTCCCCTATTGGAAGAAGCTGCAGCCAAGAAGAACGCATTGAATTCTACGAACTGGATAAAGTGAGTCCTGAACTGACCGTGGGGAATGGGAATAAGGTGGACATGCACTTTGTGGCCAGGACTTAAAGTGCTCCTCTACCAAGCAGTACAATGGACAGGTTTTTGTTGTTTTTTGCCAGAAAGAAAATATAAGACAAAACTTCGTAGCAGATCTGCAGAAGGAGTTTGCAGGCCGAGGCCTCACGTTTTCCATAGGTATTGTATATTCAAACGTTCAAGACGTGTCTACCCATTTGCAAGGAGTTGGGTGTGGGCTGCTGAGCCGTTGAGCTGGGTGGGAGCCAGGGGCAGTCCAGGCTGTAAGGAAACCAGCCACTCTTTCCTGCATAATTGGCTGTAGCAGGACTTACCCAGGAAATGGCTTCCAGACTGTCAGGTCTGGTTCCTCACTGGGGATTCTTCCTGCCTGCACTTCTCATGGTCACAAGGAGCTTCTTGATGCTGGAAGAGTGAGAAGTTGCCCTCGTGCCTTTGGACAGGAGAGGGAGGGGCTGTGATCCTCTGAGATGAATTACACCAAGATGTCTTGGAAACGTGGTTCAGTGTATCACCAGCAAGGGACTGTGACAGTCAACTGGGTCGTTTTTGCAGAGCAAGAAACCAAGGCCTGAGCTGGACATGGTGGCACGCACCTGTGATCCCAGCTACTAGGGAGGCTGCAGCAGGAGGATCACAGGTTCAAAGCCAGCCTAGGCAATTTAGTGAGATCCTTCCTCAGAGTAAAAAGGATGGAGGATGTAGCTCAATGGTAAAGCACCCGTGGATTCAGTCCCCAGTATTACTTATTGTAAATCAATGGATGGATGATGAATGGATGAACAGGTTGTAGGAAGTTTAGACTCGCCAAGGGATTTGGTGTAAGACCTGAGTGTTCCTAGACACTGAGATGGACAGGTTTCTGACAGAGCTTTGAAAGGGTCTCTGTGGCCTGGGGGAAGCTGCCTATGAACCAGTCACCTTCTATGCGATTTTCATACTTCCTGCAAGACACACTGGATGCAGCCTGCTCCCCGGCGTCTCCCACCAGGGGCACTGGGAAGTGCACCTGAAGGAGCCACTGCCAGGCTTCTCCTCAGGCCCTCCAGGTGGGCTTTATTTGCACCCATGTGCTTAACAGATTCCTCTCTGTGAGCTGGCGTTCTGCATCTTATGTTTAGACCCAGGAGAGATAATGTTGGAAAAAACGTCACCTAGATTAATTTCTAGCACCTGTCCTTAAAGTGGTATAAGTTGCAGATTAGGGTATCAAACAGCCTTGGCGATCTAGTTGCTGACAAAGAATGAATTATAAATGTTCTTCAGTGACATTAGCCTCTTTCTTTTGGGGGGAATGAAGTTTGGAGCCCAGAGCCTCCACATGCCAGGCAAGTGCTCWGCCTCTGAGCCACACCCCAGCCCTCCTTAGCCCCTTTTCCCCTTTAATGTGTGTGCGCGCGCGCTGGGATTTGAACACCCAGGGGTACTTAACCACTGAGCCACATCCCAAGCCCTTTCTATTTTGTATTTTGAAACAGGATCTCACCAAGTTGTTTATGGCCTTGCTAAGTTGCTGAAGTTGGCCTAGAACTAATGACCCTCCTGCCTCAGCCTCCTGGGTTGCTGGGATTACGGGCATGCACCACCACACCCGGCCTCATTGTTAATCTGTGTGTGTGTGTGTGTATGTGTCCCCGGCAGGAGGCCAGATCAGCTTTGACGTCTTTCCTGATGGGTGGGACAAAAGGTATTGCCTGAGACACGTGGAAAACGACGGTTATAAAACCATTTATTTCTTTGGAGACAAAACCATGCCAGTAAGTATGAAAGAGTTTTCTGCAACTTCACTTTCAGTTTGGGCCTGAAGGGGAAGGGCAGTGACAGGGCTGTCAGTTTGAGGGATGGCTTCTGTCCTGGAGGACGTGAGCGAGCCTCCAGCCTCCGAGCTCAGACACCCAGTGCCCCAGTGGAGGAGAGGACCAGCTGCCTGTCAGTCGGCCCTTTTCAACTGGCTTTTGAATTGAATATTGCCCTTTCAGAACAGGGCCTCTGGGGCTAATGTGAAATGCTCTGGATTTCAAAGCCCTGATCATTTTTATCTTATTCTACTGGATCCTCCCCACATTGTACATTGAGGTGTGCGTTATACATTGAGGCATCATGAGCCTTGGAAGGACAAGGAATTGCCTAAGTCTGAGACTCGGAGCATCAGGGACAGTTGGGAGGTAGGAGTGGGTCCTGGGTATCACACTCCGGCTGTCAGTGAGGTGGGTGTCAGAAATCCCAAGCCTGGTACCAGATCTGAATTGGAAACTGGAAGTGTAGCCCAGTGGTGAAGGCCAGTGCCCGCAGTTTCCCCAGAGCCACTTTGGCATCGGGGCCAGGCTTGCCCCAGACTGGAGAATCCCCTTGCCACTATCAAGGGCCCAAGAGCCTCAGCATCATCTGTCCACTCCTGTCCCGGGGCTCCATATCTCAGGGGCTGTGTCTCTTTAAATTCCTCTCATTCCTACCCCTCTGCTTCCCTCCCACACGGTGCCCCAGGTGTCTTATGACCTCAACTTCCCGGTCCCCGTTAGTCTGTTAAGACATTGTGCACCCAGCAGGTGCATCATAAATGCTGCAAGTACAGAATTACTCATTCCTCTCATCTCTGTTCCACTCCACAACCTTGCTGCTCCGCCGTGACCCACCCTGTGGCGGGCCTGCCCATCCAGGTCCTCAATTCATGCAGGGGAGTGCAGGGGGGTCCAGACCCCCTTCTTGCTTTTTAAGTGATAAAACTGGGAATTGGAGAGGTGACTGGCTTGTCCGTGATCACACAGCTAATGACAGAGCCAGTGGCACCAGAACATGCCTGTCTGCTTTTTTGTTTGTTTTAAATGACTTCATTGGGGTATAATTGACCAGAAAATCTGCACACATGTAACATACGCAGCTTGATAAGTTTGGAAATCTTTGTGCCTTTGGTTTGGGGAGATTCTGGGGGTGGGTTTAGTGGTTGTGGTGGTAGTTTTATAACACTTAATGTGATATCTGCCCTCTCAAAAGAATTTTAAGTGTATAGAAGCCAGTCATGTTGGCTCAGACCTGTAATCCCAGCTACTCAGGAGGCTGAGGCAGGAGGATCTCAAGTTCAAGGCTAGCCTTGGCAATTTTGCAAGATGCTCAGCAACTTAGACCCTGTCTCAAAATAAGGGTTCAGTGGTAGAGTGCCTCTGGTTCAACCTCCACTACTGCCAAAATTTAAAAAAAAAAAAAAGTTAAGTTGTGCTGTAGCTTGTTAACTGTAGGCCCATGTTGTCACTGGTCTCTAGAACTCCCTCAACAAGCTGACAAACCCTGTGTGCCCACTGAACAACTGCTGCCCTTTGCCACCTCCCAGCCCAGGGACCACTCTTCCACTCTGCTTCTGTTAGTCTGACCACTTAAAATGTATCGACCGAGTGGAATACATGTGTCCTCTGTAACTGGTTTATTCCACTTGGATATTGTCCCCCAGTTCATCTGTGCTGTCACAAGTGGCGGGATTTCTGGGTTCAACCCCCAGTGCCAAAAATGAGCACTGGGGGTTGAAAAAGAGAATGAGAAGCAGAGTGAAGAAGAAGGGGGTCACCTGTCATCCCGCTCCTCGGCTGAGCCCCACCCCCAGCCCCTTCTCCCTGCAGGGTGGCCCTTCCTCGTTAGCTTCTGTCCCCTAATGTGTGTGTTTTCTCCTCCGTATTAGTGAGTGTTCTGTGAAAGCAGTTGTGACTTCCAGCTCCTGGTGTCCACCCTTCCGTACTGTGACCCTCTAGAAGGCTGCTGTGTTCCTGCTGAGCATGAGTTTTGCTGTCTCCCAGGGAAGGAGCCCGAGCTCCTTGTCAGTAAAGAGCTATTTCCCTGCAGGCACTGAAGGCGGGCGCTTGCTTTTCCAAGAAACCCCTCTTCCTCCCCAGCAGCTGCACTCAGACCTGCCTCTGAGCTCAGCTGACAGGCCTGGGCCACCTGCGCCTGCGGGGACAGAGCCTAGGGACACTCCCAGMCACTCTGGCTTCTCCCAGAGCCCTGGTTTGTTGAAAGCTGCTTGCGAGCAGCACCGTGGCTTTCGGGCCTTAGAAATGTGAAGACACTTCATGGTGACTGGCCCCACGCTCCGCCTTGGGCAGCTGAGCTCTGGGTGTCCTGGCATGTGTGCACCTGGGAACTGAGGCGACCAGCCCTTACACAGTGGTCCTGGGGACACATCTCTGCAGTTTCCTTAGTGCCTGAAGCAAAGTGCAGGACCATGTAAGTAAAGTGCTACATCTCTGTCTAAAGTGGGGGAAACAGATGGATGCAGGTGTGTCCCCTGGCCGCCATTTTCTGGGCAGTCTGAGGTGCAGCCTGCGGAAGCACCAGGAGACCCCTCTTCATTTTGAACGATGTGAATATGGGGATCTTGTTTGTTTTCTGAGGATTTTTTGTCGTCTTGCCTGGACTTGAACCCAGGGTCTCACACAAGCTAGGCAAGTGCTCTACCACTGAGCTACAGCCACATCCCAGAATGTTCCATCTGTTGGAAGTAGACTTTGAAAATATCAGATTGAGAGAGGAAGCTGCAGCTTTCAGGCACCTCTCAGTCCAGACCTGAGCAGGACACTGAGGACGCGGAGGAGGCGTGTCTGGGCCCCTCAGTTCCCATCTTGCCCTTCACCTCACCACCTCTGCAAGCCAGCGGCTTCCTTCCCTTCCCACTAAATGTGCAGCACTTGTCTCTCCTGAAACGTGAACAAGACCACCTATCTTTAATATTGGATTGCGGGCTGGGGATCAGCTCAGTTGGTAGAGTGCCTGCCTCCTGTGTACAAGGCCCTGGGTTCCATCCCCAGCACCCCCCCCCAAAAAAAAAAATGGAGAGCATGGGTCAAGAGATTTGTAAACCAAAAAGATGGGTGTGGCCCTGCCACCTGCCCCTGCAGTAACTGCACACAAGCCTCCGTCTGAGGCTCAGTTCCCCTGTGAATCACCTGTACTGGACTCAGTGAGATCCTGAGGGGGGTAACAAGCSGCTGGCTCAGGGGCAGTCAGGGTGTGCCCTCCTGCCAGAGGACTGCTCTGCAGCCAGCTGTGCTTCCCTTAGGGGGACACTGGAAAAGCTGGGCCGGGCCTGGAATCCCAGCCACGTGGCAAAGCTGTGTCCAAAAGTCTGGGACGAGGTTCAGTGGTGGAGCACCCTTAGGGCTGCAGGAGCCTCGCCGTCACTGAGGTCTCAGAGATTGGGACCTGCTGGGTCCCAGGAGAYGGTCCTCCCTGACTCCAGGCTCTCCTCTCCCGCTCCCCGCTGGCCCTGGCGTCAGGGTCACCAGGGTTCACCACCCGACTGTGGGGCTCAGCAGCTGAACKCGGAACCCTGGGCCTCTAGGGATTTGAGTGTTACGGGGCGGACTTCCCCTCCCCTGGGCCTGTAAGAGGTTGCCACAGAAATGTGCTGCTCTTTCTCCCCTCCTCCCCCTTTCCTCAGGGAACAGGCGTTTTGTTCTTGGAACCTCCCCTAATGGAGCCCCAGCCTTTGGTGCACATGCAAATGGAGCATTTGAGATTCCCTGAAGCCTGATCCTCTTTCAGGAGCCCAGGGCTGGGTTCTCCTGAGCTGCAGACTCCAGGCACCTGGGAAGGAGCCCCCTGCCCTGAAACTGACTTGGAAGGAAGAGGGTCCCTTGGTGGAGAAAGGCAGGCCTGGGGTGGCTGCGAAGGTGCTTGGGAGGAAGATGCCCTGCAGCCAGCAGAGCTGCAGGGCACATGGCTGGATGCCGGGGTCCTCGGGGGTTGTGGAGCAGCAGGTAGCCTGACTCAGAAGCCTAGGGCCAGCAGGGCTGGTGGGGGCATTACTCCAGCCACTGGCCACACCCCATCACAGTGTGCCCAGCTTCCTCAGACCGCCACCTTTTTAGGCTGTTTCCTGATCCTGGCCAGGGTGAGACTTGCAGGAAGGCACACCGGGTGAGGAACAAGACCGGAGCTGTGCTTCACCTGCYGTCTCCCCAACCTGGCCTTGGGCAGGTCCCACCATTACCCCATTCTGGGCAGAAGAGCCTTCTGTAGCCACACCCTCATTCAGTCAGAACCAAGGTCCAACCCAGGCCACCCACTGCAGAGACCATACCCTTAGCCAGCCACCAGCTGCATGGGGCCATCTAAATGTCATCAAAATGAAACTCAGCTCCTTGTGGCCCTACCTACACTTTAAGTGCCCAGTGACCTCGTGTGGCTCTGGTCAGCATTGAGACAGCTGTGYGCATTGTCACAGCTAGCTGCCCCAGGCTGTGCACCCTGTCCCATCCTTGTGATGGAGAAGCTTGGGCATAGGTAAGACCAGTTGATGGCTATGAGGCTGCTGTCACTCCTGCGCTTGCTTTATAGCAAAATAAGCCTTAGATCTTCACAAGAGCATCGTGATTTCCTTCACAAGGATAATTACATGTTCCAAGCCCAGTTGGGGTTCAAGAGGAGGTTAAAATCCTTCCCAAGATGCTCGCGGCGTTCCTCCCCTGCAAACTGAGAARTAACTGGAGGAAGTCTCCGTGCCCTGGTGAGGTGTGGGTCCCTCACTTCTGTCGGCCTTCAGCGCCAGGGTCGCAGCAGCCGCACCTGGGCAGCAGAGCCTAACACATCTGGGCCTTGTGTCTCTGCAGGGCGGCAATGACCACGAGATCTTCACAGACCCGAGAACCGTGGGCTACACTGTGACAGCGCCCGAGGACACACGCAGGATCTGTGAAGAGCTCTTCTCATAACGAGGGTGGGCAGGGGGTCCCTGGGCCAAAGCCATGGCCCCTCCTCACATACACCCACTCCCAGGCCAGCTGTCTGCACTGTCCAGCTGTGCACGGTGCAGACACCACCACACTGGGCAGCAGGATCAGCCTCCACCCCCAGCAGGTCATGCTCTTGCAGTGCCAGAAGGATCCAGGGAGGGGATGAGACTCCAAGAAAAGATTCCATCCCCAGCCTCAGACCTACCTCGCATTGGCACGTTTTCACCCTAACATGGGGCTCTGGAAACTCATTCCAGGATTCAGAAAGAACAAATGTGCCTAGGCTCGCCCTCTTCACGGGTCTCAAATACAACTGCTGTTAGTGTTTGGACCCTGGCGTAGCCACCAGAAAGGGCGACAGCCTCTGCATGACCCTGGAACACAGCTGGGCTCACCTCCCTCCTGAAGCCCCTCCCAGGTTGAGCCCCGGGGGTGCTGGGATGCTCAGTTTTCCAGCCTGCTCCCTGTTTGTGAGCCGCAGATCTCTCGGTGGCCTGCCAGACAGATTGCTGGCCCGGTACCCAGTGACCCATGGCGTCTGCACTGGGCAGGCAGCGCTCAGGCGGCCTGTGTCCACTCTGAACAGCCTAGCTGCTCTCGGGAGGACAGACCCTGCTAAGACTGGCGCAGCCCTTCCCCTGCACCAGGGCAGCTCCCAGGATGTCATCAGACTTCCCCAAGAGGACCCTCCTGATGGGACCTGGTCCCTCAGAAGTCCACATAGAACCGGAGCTGAGCCCCATGGAGTCTGCTCCTACCCACCCTTCCCGGTGGACTGCGGGAGCTCCACGCCCCCAGCCCCCAGAGCACTCTGAGAACGGGTTCCTGTGCCACTTTCCAGCATCTGGCCATCTCCACCCCACCCCAGGGCTGACCACCTGGCCAGCAGCAGCGACAGGCCTGCCCTTTGTCCCACACAGGCAGGTTCTGAGCAGCTCTCGGGACCAGCAATCTTGTCACCTGCCCTTGTTGAATTTTGAAATTGTACTGTAACGACCTTTCAAAACAAAGTGGAGCACACCAAAGTGACGTTTCCTGTCTCTCATTCTGATGCTTGTCCCTCCTGATTGTCAGTGGGTGGTGAAGAGGGATTGGCAGCTGCACCCCATATTCCGGGAAGGCGGCCACCTTTAGCTCTGAGACCTCTCTGCTCCATGCTTCTCCCCAGGGCCTCCCACACCAGGTGGCTCTGCCACTCTCTGGCTCTGGGGTGAGGTCCAGAATTCATTGGTAAACCTTCCTGGGCAGGGGGCTGCCTCAGACCCTCCTGCCTGAAATGGACCTGGGGTTCCTACCTTCCCCTTTCTTCCTGTGGTCTCTGTGTCCATGGAACCCCAGCCTGACCCTCCCCAGGTGCAGTGGGAATAAAGTGGCCACTGTGTCCGCTGTGATGGAGCAGCAGGGTCTGTGAGGCCAGGTGGGCGCAGACTGCCCAGGTGTGAGGCTGGTTCTGCTGACCAGCTGTGACTCAGAGCACGTCCCATGTTGTCATCTGCCAAATGAGATGGCCCCTGCCACCTGGCGGGGTACTCTGAAAGAGCTGATGGCAGTCTAGTAGGCCTGCCCTGTGTGAGTTGTCGCCAACTCTGGAAGCCTCCCAGCAGCCCGGGGGCAGAACAGTCATGCCCTTGGCCCTGGGGAGTTGGCAGGATAAAGTCACCATCCCGACATTTAAATACAGTAGGAGTTGAGCAAGAGGGAAGCACCGGGTGAGCCCAAGCCAGCCTGGGCCTGTTCAGAAATCTGAAGACACTGCTGGCCCTGGACTCCAGGTTACCTGGGTCTAAGCAGCCTCAGGAGGTCGGCAGGCTGGCGGGCACAGTGTCAGGCCTTCCGGAGGTCCTGCAGCTGCTGGGGGAGCGGGTGGCTGGAGGGCTCCCTCCCGCCCCATCGCCAGAGCTGGGCAATGGCACCCGACCCCAGGCGCAGCCCAGGCCTGTGGAGCCCTGAATCACTTCCTCTTCCTCCCCACTCCCAGGCTCCCCCAGCCCAGCCCAGCCCAGGCTGGGCCCATCACAGCCCAGTGAGCAGCCAGCCCCAGGCTCTTCCCACCTGCACAGCCCTAACTCGCTGACCTTCACAGCCTCCCAGGCGGCCTCCTCCTGACCCAGCTGCAGCTTCCAGCCCTCCCTCCCCCAGGCACCTGCACAGAACACTCCCTTGATGTAAAAAGGCAACTTGCTCACGGTTCTGAGCTTAAGGCCAACTCCGACCTCTTTCTGAACACACTGGACTAGTCTAATTTCCCCAAAACACTTCAAAAATCATATTAATACAAATACCCATCCGCATCAGATCATCATCCACCTCCTTGGGGAACACTAGGCAGAGTGAAACCCACCTGGCCAGGCTCAAAGTCCCTCCCCAAGCTACCCCTGCCCTGTCACCTGGGATTGCCACCCTGCCCACCTCAGTCCCTGCACCCTCTGAATCTGGCTGCCTCCCCACAACTGTGCCACGAGTGACCTGCTGCTCTCCACCAATGTGTCCACCAAGGCTTACAAGATCTATTCCAGCACTCTCTCCTGAGTCCCGGTCTCCAAGATGAGGCTGGCCTCATCTGTTCCCAGCCCCCCTTTGGCATCTGGGGGACTTCAACCCCCATYAGGTGTCTGCAGCAGGAACCCTGAGACCATTCTCTTATCTGCAGGGGGACAGTGGGAATGAGGGCTCCCTCCCGCTCACACAACCCCAAAACACCACCACAGAGCTTTAGCCACCGCCAACCAAACCAACGACATGTGTTGTGACCTCATGAGGCCACATCTACGGCACAGCTCTCCCGCACAGGAGAATGAGGACCAGAGAAACAGGAGCTCCATTTTCCACAGAACCGACTGCAGGGGGGCGGGGTTCCGGCCTCTGCAGGGAAGCCGCCCTGACCCTGGACTTCCATGCGCCAGACCCCGTGTACACCGCCTCGCACCAGCAGGCTTTAGGGAGGCAAGATCCCTTCTTGGGAATTCTGCATTCTATTCCCAGCTGCGTCCCTCCTCATCTGCAAATTGAGACTCTGTGTCTGAGTGGAGAGGGGTCACTCCCAGCTCTAATATCCCTCGGTTCTAGAATGCTCATCAACTGAACAATGTGGTCACACAGGAAGCACCGTTTACAAAGGGTTCTGCCAAGCGAGAGAATCCAAAGTCCACTGACAGCAGAACGCAGCTCCCAGGCTACTGTGGGCACAGCCGCTGGGCGCCAGCACGTGGGAGGACACCAAGTCCCAGCTGGCCACCAAGCTGAGGGCAGAGCCAGAGTCGCTTGAAAGGAAGCAAGTGGCTTTGGAAACCTGGTCTGCGCCCAGCAGACAACCCAGGGGAGCAACCTAGAAAACAAGCCAAGACTTGGAGGGAAAAAGCCCTCTACCCAGCAGAGGACAGGCAAGAGTGGAAGGACCCTACTGGRGCACAGCAAGCAGCAAAGGAGGTCACCCTAACAGGGATGGAGCCACGTGCATGTCACAGCACACACCTGATCAACACCTTCTTTGCCTTTGTGCAGTACTGGGAATTGAACCCGGGGTACTCTATCACCAAGCCACAATTCCAGCTTTTTCTTTTAATTTTTTATTTTGAAACAGGGTCTTGCTAAGTTGCCCAGACCTCGAACTTGCTGATCCTCCTGCCTCAGCCTCCAAAGTGGCTGGGATCTCAGGTGCACGCCACTGTGCTGGGCTTACCTGCCTTTAAAAACAAAAAAACAAAAAACAAAAAAACTCCACTGGTCACCAGCAAATAGTTCTAGCCCTCCATCCCCTCTCAAAGGAAGCATACTTCGGCTGGAAGAGTCAAAATYCAACCCCCCGAGTCCAGATTTAAGGCCTGTGATGAAGTCCTGGCTGCTTCCCACATGGACTGGTCTTCCCTCTCTTCTGCAGTGGGGTCCTGGGCCCCTCAGTCCGTCACCAACAAGCAAACACCTGACTACACAGAGGCCGTGGGCTYCCAAGAGAATCACTCAACTGCTTCTACTTTCAAATCACAACCAAAGCCAAACCAAAGTACTGAAAGAAAGTCCTAAGGGTGCGTTGACTGGAAATCCCTACCCAAGGYGCCACATCAGCAGAAACGGGGCAGGCCGGCGGGGCAAGCTCAGCTGGTGAARACAGTCCCTCAGCACCTCTTAACTATGTGCATTTCCACCTGTAACTTCCGCCTTTCCCAGGCCGTCAGGAAGCAAGCTCTCCACTCTCTGGATGCACCTGGGGAGAGTTCTGTTTTGGAGTTGTTTTCTCATACTGGGGAAGGAACCCAGAGTGCTCTACAACTGTGCCACCTCCCCAACCCTTTTATTTTTTATTTCGAGACCGGGCCTCACTAAGTTACCCAGGCTGGCCTCACACTTCTAATCCTCCTGCCTTGGCCTCCTGAGTCACTAGGATCACAGGCGTGGTCACCATACCTGCCCAGGAAAAGTTCTGTTTTAAATAAAGACCCTCCRCTCTCTAAGGCATCTTCCACCCCCATCAGCCCCTCCAACCACCCCCTTAATGACAGGCTGGGAAACGGCTGCGATGGGAACTGCTTGACTAGAAGGTAGAGAGACCAGACTCTAAAAGAAGGCCAAGTTCAGCCCGAGCACAGGCTGCCAAGCCCTGGGTCGGGCGCCCAGGGACGGTCTTCCTCAGACTGGTGCAGTGCCACCTGTCCCGCTGCAAGGGCACCAGACGGCAAAAATCCCTCCAACCCAGGCCCCACCCTGGAGCAGCTTCCCTAGAACCCACCCCACCAGGAGTCAGAAGACTGCACTGGCCTGCGCGTCACCTCTTGTGGGCCAGAGCTGGGGACCTGGGGCGGGGGGCTGGGGATGGGCCCAGAACCCGGTGCGCTCCAGCCGAGCCCTCTACCCCGGAGCTGTGCCCCCTGCCCAATCCAGGGATTTCCAGCCCCCACCAGAAGGGGGAAAGGCTCTGTGGGCTGAGCCTGCTCCTCTGGGCAGCTGGGGGACAGTGACCCTGGACCCGCCCCCAGGCTGGCTGGGTCCCTGGCTCAGCCACCAGCAGGCGCCTCTCCTTTTTAAATGCCTTTAATGCTTTCCAGGTGGTGAGAGCTTGCTGACGGAAGGAGGCTGCTGATGGCCGGGAGCGCCCGGGCCTGCCCCCACCCCTTCCTCCAGAGACACTCAGAAGGGACTGTGTCCCCCCAGAAGCCCCGTCTCGTGCGGTAGATCATCTCCAGTGTGGCCCTGACTCCTGCTCCCCACAAAGTCTCCCACATGCTCAGGAGAAGGGGTGCTTCTGGGTCCCCTAGGAGCTGACGACGTGCCCAGACCAGGTCTCATGCTTGGTGCCCGGTGCCAGGTGGGTGATGACCACCTCCACGGCCTGCAGCTTCTCGTTCTTGGGCGGGATGGAACACATCTTATAGGTCACCTCGTCACCTTCCACGGGAACGTACTCCCCTTCCACGCTGCGGGAGCAGGAGGAGAGCAGGCAGTCAGAGCCCTGCCAAGGAGAGCCGCGCCACGCCCCCCCAGACCTCAGCACCCCACTGTCAGAGGCCCCCTCCCAAGGGACTGCCTCGAGGCCTTCCACCCTGTGCCCAGCCTCAGGTCTTGGCCAGGGAGCCCTGACCCACCAGCCCCTTCCCAGGGACTGTGATGCTGGGCTCCCTCAGCCCCAGCCCCGCTCAGGGCTCCCAGCCGAGCCTCTGCTGGACTCCAGACACTCAGAGAGCCTTCCAGAAAGTCCCTGTGATCCCTCCAGCTAGTCCCAGGAGGGCTTCCCTCCCTCGTGACCATCCCCAGAAAGGTCCCCCTCTTGTCTCGAGGACGAGTCACTGTCTCATGGCAAGGCTGCTGCTCCAGGAGACCCCGGAGGAAAGTCCCCTTCAGAACCTGAAGGCCAGGGCCAGCCAGCTCCCCCAGAACTGGACTGCTTTATTAGAGAGTCCAAGTGCTTTCTGTGTTTGACTTGGCCACCAGGAAGCTCAGGAATAAAGCCGCAGCCCAGGTCTTGCAGTAAAACCAGGTGGCACAGCATCTCCGTCGTTCCTGGGTGCCCCCAAACCCATGTCTTCCTAACTTTTTTGTAAACCACGAGACATTCTTTCTGAAAAGAGGCAGCCTGTAAACACAGTTGCACACCCACGTACACAAGTGCAATGCTTCAGCAGTACCCTCCTGTCTGTGCTGCAGAGGGCCCTTTAATACCCTTGTCATTCAGGCACGCTGTGGGAGGGGCAGGGCTGATGTTCCCTAGCAGCAGACAACGTGCAACAACAGGGGCCCAGTTACTTTTGTTTGTTTTGGGGGGTGCCGGGGATTGAACCCGGGGCACTCGACCACTGAGCCACATCCCAACCCTACTTTGTATTTTATTAGAGTCAGGGTCTCACTGAGTTGCTTAGCACCTGGCTAAATTGCTGAGGCTGGCTTTGAACTTGTGATCCTCCTACCTCTGCCTCCCCAGCTGCTGGGATTACAGGCGTGTACCACCACACCTGGCCTATTTTGGTTTCTGATTTTGTTTTTGTTTGGTACTAAGGTCTGAGTCCAGGGCGCTCAGCCACTGAGCCACATTCTCAGCACTTTGTATTTTTTATTTTTTAGGTACTGGTGATTGAACTCGGGGGCACTTAACCACTGAGCCATATCCACAACCCTGTTTAGTATTTTATTTACAGACAGGGTCTCCCTGAGTTGCTTATTGCCTCGCTTTTTGCAGAGGCTGGCTTTGAACTCGCAATCCTCCTTCCTCAGCCTCCCGAGCCACTGGGATTACGGGCGTGCGTCACCGTGCCCACCATGTACTTTTTATTTTGAGACAGGGTCTCGCTACATTGCTAAGGGATCCTCCTGCCTCAGCCTCCCAAGTCAGAGGGATCCCAGGCGCCCGCCACAGCACCTGGCAGGGAGGGGCCAGTTCTAGACGCAGTTTCCATGCCTTCCAGGTCTGCTGTGTGGAGCAGCCCCTCAGTTCCCTCTCTTGGCTCCATCCCCAAAATTGAAAAAAATGGGGGGATGGGAAGTGCTTAGGACAGGAGTGCAGCTAAGAGTCCGACACATCGGAAGCTGCAGGGCCAGCTGTGGAGATGGGCGGCGGGGCACTCCCAGCCCTGGGGACGTGGGGCCGCCCTGGGCTCCCCAAGGGCTTCCAGACACTCAGGAAGGAAGGACGTCAATGAGCAAGCGGCAGGAGAAAGGGTCCAGCCCCTGACTTCCTTCCTGGAGCCCCCYGGCTCACGGGGCCACTTCCCCTGAACCAGGCAGGAAGCTGCCTCCCAGGGGTGCCCCCAACTGACCGGCTTCGCTGGGCGCTCAGGCGCACCCAGCAGCTCCAGAGCCCCACACACCCCGTCCACCTGGGCACCGTGGCCGGGGAGACGCTCACAAGAGCCAATGCACTGTTCACAGGCGTACCCAGTCGCTGTGACACACAYACACACACAGCTGCCTTCAATCTGTGTCACGGCCCCACCAACATGCACACAGGGACAGATCTGGTCACGGGCAGAGTTCCACACGCCTGGCCACATGTCCTCACACCCAGGGCCCCACCTGGCCCAGCCCAGGGCTGCCCAGACCTGCTGCTGACTCACTCGGAGATGTGCAGGAAGATGTCGGGGCCGCCGTCAGCAGGGGTGATGAAGCCRTGGCCCTTGGACCGGCAGAAGCACTTGCAGACTCCTTTGTAGACAGGGCCCTGCGAAGCCCGCACCGTCCTGACGGAAGAAGGAGATGCAAGAGGCCCCCTCAGCCCCCCACTCTCCTGGGACACACCCAGCTCATCCCAGCCCTGCCCACAGCTGTGCCCAAGGAGCCGCCACGGACAGTCACACAGGTTGTGCGTAATTACAGAGCAGGCTGCACTCACGGGGCCTGCAACCTGCAYCTGCCAGGCGCTGTGTGGGTCTCCTGCAGCCCTGTGTCCACCAGGCGCTGTGCCCTTGTGCAGCTGACTGCGATGACCTTGAGGCCCCAGGAGTTCCCACCCATCAGCACCCTGCTTGTGGCCCTTCTCATGGACAGAGCAGTGTCCTCAGAGCTCAGGCAGAAGGTCCTCACCACCAGCCCTTACCCCCTTCCCAAGACTCCCCAACTGTGGCTGGACAGTGGACCTCTGGCCCTGGGCAAGAGCCCCATCTCAGGAAGTGTCCCCGGCCAGCCCGAGACTCACGCTGAGAAGGTCCTTGTCCGGCGAGTGGGCAGCGGGCTCGGGACCACGTTGCCTCTCAGGGGAGAGGGTGACCGATCTCGGGCCCCAGAGGTGTCCAGCAGCCCGATCGAAGCCTGATGCGTGGGGGGCTGTGGCGGGGGGGGAGGCTCAGATGACATTGCTGACCTGGAGAGAGACAGGGAGCTCTCAGGGGTCAGGCCTTGGAGGTGGGGCCCGCACATCCTCCTCTCCACACCCGCGGTGGCCGTCCGAGACTCGCGTCAGCCCCCGACCATCACCGTGCCCACCCCAGTGGGCCAGGGGCCTGCTCAGGGCTCTGACGTGGCCACAGGCTTCCCTCTGTCACCGTTCTCCAGATCACCCCCAAGACGAGGACAGTGACAAAGGCAGCCTGGGTCCCCTTTGTCCCGCCTCCCTCCCCTTCGTGGCACAGACCTTGGCCGACTTGGGACATTTGGCAAATGCCGTGAAGGGGAGGGAGGCCAGGAACCCTCCGCCAGTGAGGCCACGCCCCCTGACAGACACTCCTGGCGCCCTACTGTGTGCCAGGGCTGCGGGGAAGGGGGGCTGCGGGGAAGGGGGGCTGCGGAGCAGAGCGCTCAAACCCCAGCACACGGCCCGAGGGGCTGCCCCAGCCTGCACCCAGAGAAGAGAGGCCCGGCAGGCTCACCCAGGGACCTCCGAGAGCTCCACAGGCAGTGTCCACCAGGCCCTCGGCAGATCCAGGGACTCAGAGCACGCCGCGCTGGCCCAGCCACCAGCCTGCGAGGCAGTCCCGCCATGCCGCCTGCCTCCCCAGGAACAGCCCCCGGGTGGCCCAGCAGGAGGCCRCTCCACAGCTGCACCCAGGCGGTCAGCAACTTGGTGGTAAGTGGGACCCAGCTCTGTGCCCAAAACCTGGGACGGGACCTGGAGGGGCCGGCTCCGGCCAGCCTCGGCTCAGGGTCACGAAAAGAGCCACGACCCCAGGTCAGGGGCCCTGGGTCAAGTCCCTTCCACACTGGAGAAGGGGCTGCGATGGGCATCACTCACACCTGCTCAGGAGCAGAGGAAGACACTGCYGGGTAGCCCGGGGCAGGCCTGAGCTCAAAGTCCCCTGAGTCCAGGGGCAGGGGGACTGAAGCAACCCGGTGGGCTTCATGTTTAAGATAGGAACCATCYGGAGCATCCCAGCTCTCTGCCTGGGAACCCAAGCTTCCAGCTACTTGTGGCAGGAAGCTCCGCCACCGAGACCCCGTTCACCACTGGTCCGTGGTGACTCAGACCCCATGCCCAGGCCACCTAAGACCCAGGCCTCCGTCCTCGGGGGAAAGGGGTTCCTCTTCCAGAGGAGACAGCCTCCCGACACCCCCATACTCCCCTCAGTTCTGTCGGGCTGGGAGAGGAGGGGGCCGGCTGGCCTTCTTCAGGGAGTGACATAGCTACCTCCTGACCCTTCTCCGCTGCAGCCGCAGCCAAGCAGGACCACGCGTCCAGGGAGCCCCCACCTCGGAAAGGCCCGCTGCTGGGCTGCAGGTCAGGGCTCCAGCATGAGCCGGCAGGACAGGTCATAGAGTCCTGGAATGTTCCCGCGACTGGAGTTCTGGGAAGGAGGGGGGTCCAGGGAGGGGAGGGGAGGGGACGGGAGGACCCCCTCGGGCCTCCTGGGACAGCAAGTGGGACCCAATGGCCGGGTGGCTCCAGTGYAAGGTGGGGAGCTGCCCTCCACCCGTCAAAGCAAAGCCTCCCCCCGTCTTTTCTCTTAGGCACACCTGACTTCAAATTCTATCACCTGCCGGCTGTGTGATCTTGAGCAAGKTACTYAACCTCTCTCGACCTCTGTTTCTGTGTCTGGTAAATGCAAATTACAATAGTCCTGAATCCACACCATCACCATGAAGTTGGAACAAAAAAATGTGYTCAACGTGGGGCACAAATCTTCCCAGAACGAGTAAGCAGCAACGGTCAGCTGTAAGGCCATCATAAAGTCGCTYAACAAATAGATGCCCGTGCCAGGCCTTGTTCAGGACACTGGAGACACGGGGCTGAACCTGGAGCCTGAGAACAAACAGGTGAATCAAGCCATCAACAGGTTGTCACCGACTCAGGCAGGCAGAGGGGGGTGCGCCTGCCTGGGGGGGCATGCTGGGCCTGGAGCTGAGAGCCAATTAGCCCCCTGAAGGAGGAGGAAGAAAGGCCCGAGGTTCACGTGGCCCCATGTGACCAAGGCCAGCAGGAAGGCTCTGGGGAGGGCGGCCCCTCTGTGCACACATGCCCACGCCATGCTCCCTGGATTGACAAAACAGACCCCAAACAAGGGAGCCCCTTCTTTCTCCACCTCAGCCCTCTCACTTCCCAAACGTGCCCCACAGGGCTGGGGGCACACCTCAGTGGTACAACTGTCCCCGCAGGCAGGACAACCTGAGTCCAAGCCCCAGCACCACAAAAAGGCAGCTGGAGCCAAATGCATCCAGTCCCCCTGAGATGCCACTGGAAACCCCTGTTCCTCAGGGGAGCTATGTGGGGACCACACAGGGTCTCTCCATGTCCCAGGGGCTCGCCCCCCACTCCTGGCTTCAGGGCCCTGGGCACGTGCTAAGTCCTGCATCACCCCAACCCTAAGGCACCCGGAGTGCGAGGGATGGGAAGGCCGAGGAGCCTCCACCAGCCAGCCGCTCAGGAGCCACCTGGACAGCCGGAACAGGGCCGGCAGGGGGAGCACACGGATGGCCTCCCTGTGGGGACAGCTGGGTCAGAGTCCGTCTGTACAGGGGCTGTGCGGCCAGCCAGTCACCCAGGAGCACCCCCAGGTGGGCGTGCGACAGCCCTAGCCCCACCCACCAGCATGGGTGGCTTCCTGCTGCCAGCTGCTCCCCGCAACACCAAGGGTGGCCTTGGAGCCCGGAGCACAAGGCAGGGCTGACCTCCATGACCAGCCATGCCCCCCTCCCAGTCCCCGCAGCAGCAGGGGGTGAGGCTGAAGCTCAGGCTGCAGCAGGYTCAGGGCCTGAGGGGGGCCCTGGCCTGCACCAAACTCAGACCAAATGTCATGGCCATGGCATGTCACGACTGCCRGGCTGTGTGCACACGTGCTGGTGTGCGTGCACGCACGGGGGTGTCTGCATGTGCTTGTGCGAGTGTACATCTGCACGAGTACAGGGGGGTGCGCCCGTGTGCGGGGTGTTTGCAYGCAGACTGGATCGCTCCTGGCCTGCAACAGCGGGGCTCTGCAGGGCACCAGGGGACCCTGGATACCCCAGCCTCCTCCTCTGCAGTCACGGGCCTCTGAGCCACCACTGAGCTAGAAACAGCCCAGGACACAGCCTGCCACCTGCCCCGGGGTGCGCAGTGGGCGAGGTGAGCAGCTGGCCGCATGCCCTTCATTTCTGATGAGTGTCAAGGCCCGCAGAGTGGTGGGCAGGAAGCCCTCCCCACCCTGACTGTCCCCAGGGAGGGGTTTGTCAGCTGGGCTTTTACCCTGAGAATCGGAGGCAGAGGGGGCCTCAGCCTAAAATAGCCTGGGAATTTTCCATAGTCCCTACAGCTCCTCTTGGAAGGTTCTGGGAATTCAGACGGGTACTGGCACGGGGCTGCGGCCTGCCTGACCCCCACCTGGCCCACACCCACACCTGGAGCCAGAGGACCTGACCATGCAGAGCCCTGTTAACCGCCTGCAGGGCCTGCTCCTGCCCTGGCCTGGAGGCCCACCAGCCGCCYGCAGCAGGAGCCTCTGGAGCCAAGGAGCCAGGTGCTCATCCCAGGAGGGAGCTGGGGGGGCCATCAGCCACTCCAACAGCCACCAGGCGCCCTTCTTGTGCCTCAGATGATGCAGGAGTGGACTGGAGCTTGGCTCAAGTCAGACGTCCACTCCTGGGCAAAGCTGGACCTCTCCCCGCCTGCTTCACAAAAGGCGGGCATCGGAACCTCCATAGGTCTCTGGCTGGGGAAGGCCAGGGCTGGGTACCCTGCCAGCCACTTTGCAGCCCATGGTGTGGACACTCTGGCAGGTGGGGTGGACACAAAGMCACACTGGGAAGCAGGCAGGGAGGCTGCAGGGCCCGCTGTGGGGGCAGAGGGCTGTGCTGTTACCCACACAAAGCCACTGTCCTCTGGCCMGTGTGGGCTCCAGGGGACACCTACCTACATGACCTAGATTAATCTTCACATGATCCCAACAGGGACACACTGCCACCAGCCATGTTTCCCAGGTGAGGACCCAGCACAGGGGGCTAAGTCAGGACTGCGCACTCTTCATGGGTTCAAATGCAGATTCTGATTCTCAGGTGACGGTGGCGTCTGAGGTGCTGGGTAGAGAACCCCTCTAGAGGAGGTATATTCCCCGTCCCCACCCCCAGTCTGCATTTCTAAGGGACTCCCAGGGAAGGAGTGGCACTGGTCCATGGGGTGATTCTCTTGCCCAGCGAAACCGCAGGACTGAGGCCAGCCTCTAGATTGATGGCGCAGTCAGCCCCACTGAGCCTGGGCTGGCAGAACTGGCCTAGTGCACCTGGGGGGGGGGGTGTCAGCTGACCTGGGACAGAGGGGTCCCTGGAAGCAAGGCCGAGAATGAGCCAGAGGTTGACACAGCAGCAGGGCTCAGCCACACTCTGCTCCATTGTTGAGCAGGGGTCTGGTGAGGGCAGAGAAAGGGGAGGCACAGGGACAGCAGGGGTGGGCGGGCCTCCTCAGCTGCAGCCCGCGCCCCAGCCTCCCCACTCCCTGCTGGCACTGACTGCAAAGAGGCCAGAAGCCTAAAGGGGAGCTTTCCAGGACCCCAAGGTAGCCCCTCCAGCATCACCAGCCTCCTGACCCCCCATGAGCACCCCGAAAGCCTTGACCATCCAGGCGACACAGAGTTACCCACTGCCCCACCAGGCACTCAACCAGGAGGCCTCCGGGGACAGCGATCCATCATGCACAGAACCCTGCCCTGCAGGTCTGTCCCCATCTACTCCTTCCTGTTTGATCCTTTCCTTGATCTGCTCTTCCACACCTCTGCAACCTCTGGCCAGCAACCCTGCCTCAGTTTCCCCAACTGTCCACTGGAATGATGAAGCATCCTGGGGTGCGGATGTGTGGACGGTGCGACAACCGCGTCCAGTCAACATCAATGCACTGGCATGGTGCAGCTGTGAGGCACCGTTGAGCACCCTCCCATTCCTGTCCCTGTGTGGGGGACACAGACCAAATGCCCTCAGTCTGCCACTCAGCAGGACAAACAGGCTGTCCCCCTCCCCCTCACCTCCACTGCAGGACCCAAGGACTCCACTCACCCTCACCTCCCCCTCACCTCCTCCTCACCTCCACTCACCCTCACCTCCACTGCAGGACCCAAGGACCCAAGGCCTAACTCAGCTTATCAGATCCCAAGCATCTAGTCCCCTGAGGAGCGACCAGGCCAGTGCTGCTGACAAGGGACACATGGGTCAGCATGGAGAATCCACTGGCATTCAGGCAGCCCAGGAGCAGATGGCCCAGAGACGGACCTGCTGAGCCGGGTCTGAAAAGATCTTTTAATGGGTGCAGAGTCCAGGCCCAGGGCTCCAGAGGGGCAAAGGCCYGCAGCGAGGGAAGCTGTAGAGGCAGTGGGGGTACATCACAGGAAGCCTCTTGAAAAGTTTGTGGCTTACGGTAAATACAATGGCGACACCAGAGGACAATTTTACGCAGGAGGGTTGAATTCGAAGCTATTGTTTTTACAACCACCACCTGGCTTCGGCTTGGCCATCATTTTAGAAGGGCAAGATGAGACATCTAAAGAGACTTGGGAAATATCAAAACAGCGGGAGAGTGGACCTAGCGTTTCTCCGGCCTGGGCTAGCCCTTTTATTCCCACGCACCCATTTTTGCTAGGAAAAGTTCTATCCCCAATCTGCAGACGAGGATTCGAGAGGCCTCCACCTCTGAGAACCGAAGCCCCGCCTGGAGCGGAGCGGGCTGCCCTTCACTTCTCCCAGGACACGCACCCACTCCAACCCCCCAAAAGCTGTGGGCCCAGAACTTTCCTTTTTTAAATTTAAAAATTAATGTTGCATCTCCGACCTGCGCACCTGGGTGGCCAGCGCCGCGCTGGAGAGGGGGCCTGTACTCGCGGATGAAGTTTTTCTCCTCCGTCTAGTCGTCCCCCCACCACCCTCCGGCGCAAAAACACCAGCGAGCGCGCGCCGCGGTCCCTCCTCCCCCCGATGCCGCCAATCGCACGGCGCCAGGGCGGCTCCCCCGCCGGGCCTGGCCGCCGTCCCACCMGCGAGCCCACAGCTGGTGCGGCCCGGCCAGGCAGGGAGCTGGCTCCGCCTCCCGCGCGCGGCGCCCCCCGCGCCCACCCCCGCACCACGAGTCACCCCATTCACGCTCCAGCCCACAGGCCAGAGCCGTGGGGGGGACGGGGAGCGCGTCCCCAGCGCGCAGAAAACAGGTGGCCGGGCGGGAAGTGCTGCCCGACGTTCGCCTCCGATCCCTCCAGCTGCGGCCACACCCACCCTGCCTCCCGGGGAGAGGACCCGCGCTTCCCCGTCAGGCCCCGGAGGCCGGGCATCTCGCAGGGGCTGGGAGGAACTGGCCCGSAGCCCAAAGCCGGGAGCCAGAAGACCCCGCACGGGGGGCCGGCGGGGGGCAGCACCAGCGGGGGAGGCCGCGGCCCCGTCCCTGCGCTCCCGGGGCTCGGGCGGGAAAGCCCCGGGCCCCTCGCGGGGTCCCGGAAAAGCCTCGTACCTGGCTGCGCGTTCGCTGCGCCCGCGGCTGGGCTCCGACTGCGAGAGCCGAGCGGGCCGGGGGCGGGGCGGGCCGGGGCGGGGCGCCTAGGCCCCGCCCCCAGGGCTCCCGCCAATGGGCCGGGGCCAGGCCCGCGGCGCTGGACCTTTGTGTGGGCCGGGGAACGCCTGGACCGGACGCGGGGGCTGGCCCACCGGGAGGGACCCGCCGCCGTCCCCCGCCCCGCTGCGCCGCGCCCGCGGTGGAACCTGGCCCCGGGGAGTGGAGAGCCGCACCGTCGCCAGCCTGTCCCCAGCTGCCGGGGCTCCCCGTCCAGATGAGCCGGCCCTGGGTTTTAGCAGAAAGGACGAGACAAAAGGGAAACAAACTAGCAAAACCCCGAGGGGAGGAAGGGGAGAAATGAGCCAAATCGGAAAACCGCGGGAGAGCAGTTGGTGTGTTCTCCTCTCTCTCTCGCTCTCTCTCTCTCTCTCTCTCTCTCGCTTTTGTTTCTTTGTTTTTCTTTTTGTTTCCACTCCGTCCTGGAGTCCTCCATCTCAGGAGGCAAATGGTGCTGATGGTTTTGCAAGGTAGGAACCCAGGCTCTGGGAGGAGGTCACCTGCTCATGGCTGCGGCCCTTGAATGCGATCCCAGCCCCCAGGACCCGGGGCGGGAGGGAGGAGAGGTATCCGGTGGCTTTCCTAAACCACAGGCCCGGGAGTGGGCATGGCGCTGCAGTCCCCCTGGAGATGCCATCCGGTGACCCCAGACTCCGCACCAGGCTGAGGCCCAGTGGTGGCCGAGGTCCAGCAACAAAACCGACAGGGGGAGGCGCCCTCATGCTGCTGGCGGGAAAGGGAAATGGTAAAGCCACCGTGGAAAAGTCTAACGGACCTCCAACAGTTACACCTAGAAGCACCCGACCTGCAGACCCACTGCTAGGTGTATGTCCAAGGAACCGAAAGTGTATGACCGCGCAAAAGCGGACCTGTTCCCGGATCTTTATAGCAACATTATTGCTAATAGCTAAGGAGTGGGGCTGGGCACGGTGGCGCACACCTGTAATCCCAGCGGCTCCGGAGGCTGACAGGAGGAGTTCAAAACCAGCCTCAGCAAAAGCCAGGCGMTAAGCAACTCAGTGAGCCGTGTCTCTAAATAAAATACAACACAGACTGGAGATGTGGCTCGGTGGTTGAGTGCCCCTGAGTTCAGTTCCCTCCGCGGTACACACAAAAAAAGGAAAACATTAGCTAAGGGTAGAGTACAGGACTGGGGCTGTCGCTCAGAGGTGCAAGGCCCAGGGTCAACCCGAATGTTCATCAGGTAATGAATGGATAAACAAATGATGTGTATCTGTACAATAGGAAATTATTTGATCACAAAAAGGAATGAGGTCTGTCTCAAAAATTTAAAAAGGTTTGGGGATGTAACTCAGGGGCAAAACACCGCGACCACTGGGTTCATTCCCCAGGACCACCAAAAAAATAAAAATAAATAAATAAATATATATATATATGAAGTATTGATTCAAAATGAGTGAACCTTGAAAACATGCTGGATGAATGAAGGCAGACACAAAAAGACACACATATCCCATCTGATTCAAATGTATGGTATGTCAAGATCATTGTACTGTCACGTGTAACTAATTAAAACAAATAAAAAATAAAAAAGACACACATAGATTTCATTGATACAAATATCCTGAATAAGCAAGTCCATGAAGACAGAAAGTAGATTAGGAGGCCTGGATTTGGGGCTTAGTAGTGGAGCGCTTGCCTAGCATGCGCGGGCCTGGGTTCCATCCCCAGTGATGCAAAAAAAAAAAGCCGGGGGTGGGGGTGGGGGTGGGGGTGGGGAATAGGGGCTGAGAGCCAGCAGTACAGGGTTTCTTTTCAAGGTAGGACAAATGCTCCAAATTTGATCAAGCCATAGTTGCACAACTCTGTGATTGTACTAAAACCATTGAATTATACACTTTCCATGGGTGAACTGTAACTGAAAACAGCTGTAAATCAGACAAGGGACCCCTGGGCAGGGGTGGGCAGTGACCCATGGGACTCCAGTTTCTAGTAAGGTTCTGTCTCTCAATCTGGGGGCAGGGACACCCTGGGGTGGTTACTTGATGAAAATTCATCAGCCCAGGACAAATGATACATTCCGACACACTTTCATTTTTATTTTTAAAAATATTTTTTGGTACTAAGGATTGAACCCAGGGGTTCTTCACCACAGAACTACACCCCTAACCCCTTTTCAGTTTTTATTCTGAGACAGGGGCTCACTAAAGTTGTTTAAGGCCTGGCTAAACTGCTAAGGCTGGCCCTGAACTTGCAATCCTCCTGCCTCGGCCTCCTGAGATGCTGGGATTACAGATGCCATTGCACTTAGCAAAATATAAACTTTTCAAATACAGGTGAGTGCTAACAGGGCCCTCTCAGTGCCTACCGCATTCACCTCACCATAACCCTGACTCCGTGGGTACCGTCCAGAATCTGGGGAGCAACCCCAGAGAAGATGCTGAACCCTGCTCCCCTTGAGGCTCTGTCAAGACGCCTTGGTGTGCACCCTTCCTCCCAGCACTGCAGCAGGGTAGGAATGTCTGTCTGTCCTCCCACCGAATGCTTCACAGTGCATGTGTTCCTGTCCCATTGTACAGATAAAGAAACTCAGGTCTGCCTGCTGAGCTACCCTGGTGAACAGCCCTTCCTGGTCCATTGGCCTTTCTGAACCTCGCTTTCCTCATCTGTGAGACGATCATTGTGAGTGGTAAGGAGGTGGCCTTGGCTGGTCCCTGATACCCAGTMGGAGGTCAGCAAGCCTTGGATCCTTGGAATCCCTCCAGGGCAGTGGCCATCTAGAAATAAGAAGTGTCCACCCAGACCCCATCCCAGAGGGCAGACACAGGGATGAACACTGAGCAGGAAGTCTGGGTCACAGGGCCCTCCCTTCCAGACAGGCAGCAGGCTCATCCTAACCACCCTCTCTTCCTGCCCTTTTCTTACTGGTTCCTGGCACACCATCACCTCCGGGGTGTGTTTGGGGGATGCAGGAAGTCCTGGAGGGTTGTCCCAGCCACTGGGACACTGGGGGGGAGACTTGTGACTTGGAGAACCGCAGCGGGGGCAGACGGAAGACGGCCCCRCCCATGCTCCAGCTCCACGCCCTACCCGTGTGTTGGTGGCACTTAGAATAGTCCCAGTCTCAACTCCAGCTCCACCCACTGGACCCCATGAGTACTCTGCCCTGTTCTAATGCTCAAGTGGAAATTCAGAAGATCCATGGATTTGGGGGGAGGCAAGAGCCCTATGTGCTTGGATTGCTGAGAACCACACCAGGCCACTGTGTTGGACACCCTGTCCCCAAGAGAGCCACACCCACCTCCTAGGGGTGCTGTGAACACAGGGACCTCATTTCAAAATGTCAAAACGAAGTCCCAGCAATATTTGATTTAATAATAACTTATCCCTCGGGATATTTTTTTTTTAAACAAGCTGTTTTTTTAGGGCACTTTAAGTTCACAGCTAAACTGGGTRAAAGTACCCTGTGCTTCCCACATGTCCCCTACAGCCCCATCTCCAGAACCTCCCTGCACCAACCTGGGACATGGATGCCAAGTCCAAGTTCACATCAGGGCCCCCCCCCCCATGGTGTTGCTGTTCTGTGGATTTGGACTAAGGCACGATGACACATCAAGGTGTCACACAGAGTCCCTGCCTTAAAACCCTCCTGTTTTGGTGGGTCAAACGCTCATCTTTGCCCTGGACAGTCTGTTATGGTTCAATGCTTCTGTACAGTCCTGCAAACACAGGGCTACAGGACCGTGCCCCACAAGGGTCCTCTGCCCCTTGGTGACCCCTACCTTCTGCCCCCACCCCAYCCACATCTGCTCTCTGCCACTGCAGATGAGTTTGCTCTACAGGGACTCCTTCCCTGCCTGCCCCATGCGTCTTCTCTCAGCACAGTCATTTTGTGACTCACCCAGGATGGACAGTTTATCCCTTCTTCCTGCTGCATGGTATCCCATTGTGACAGCAGCTCTGCTGTGCCTGGTCTGGGCTGCCCTGATCCACCCACCCACTGCAGGTCTTTGGGTGAATGCCTTCCCATTCCTCCTGGGGTCGGGTKGGGGGGTAAGAAGGGGAGTGGCACTGATGACACTTTGGGAAGACAGAATGCATGCGGATTTCACTTCCCCAGATCTTTGCTTTTCCATTTTTACTTTGTGTTACAATTGGGGCATTGCATTGTGGTTGTTTTTCGTTACTGGGGATTGAAGCCAGGGGTGCTCTACCACTGAGCTACACTCCCAGCCCTTTGTACTGCAAGACAGGGGCTCATGTCRTTGCCCAGGTTGGCCAGGGCCTTGCGATCCTCCTGTCTCAGCCTCGGGAGTCGMTGAGATTAGAAGCACGGGCCACCKTGCCCA